TTGGAACTGGATCTAACATACAAGTTGAAGGCTTAGATGAAGACAATAGTTTCACTAACACTAAAAGTTCAACTGGATCAAAACAGTCTAATCCCAGTTCAGATTGTCCCAGATGCTGCCCCACCTTCCAGAGACAAACCAATCATAGTTAGAGGAGTGCTAATGATCTTATTTTTAATGAGATCAATATTATGTATAAAGAATCACATGAAATCATTATTGCTAAGAGCAGGTGGAATTGACGGTTCAACAGAGCTATGGCTCTGGGTGAGTTTCACAACTTTATTAAAAAGATATCTAGGATTATTCTTATTCTCCTCTGTTAATGAGGAAAAATATGCTGTTCTTGCTTTACAAAGGGTCCTCTTATATGGTAGTAAACTATTTTTCCAGCCTAGATAGAATTCCCCTAGGCATGTAGAGTGCCATTTTTTCTTCAGTTTCCTAGCTTTTTATTTCAGTGTGCGCAGCTCTGCATTAAATCAGGGAGCCAGATTTCTATTTTTTAGTTTTACTTCTCAAAAGGGCTCCGTTGTCTAAGGCAGGACACAGAGAACTAGCAAACCCATCAACAAAATCATCAACCTGTGAAGAGGAATAAACTAAACTTTTGCCCTCTGCAGCACTGCTCAGCGACACAGAGGAGAGAGTGAAACAGGCTCTTTAAAATTTATAACTGCACTGTCTGATTATGAACTGCTAAGGTGAATGCTTCTTTTGGGGGAGGAGAACTCTGTTAAAGTAATCCTGAAGTTTAGTTAAAATTGGTCAGAGAGGACAGGGTTGTTAGGAAATTCTATTATTTCTTCACATTCAATGCCATATGTCAGCATAAGGTCCAACGTATGAAGATAAGAATGTGTGGGACTATTCACATTTTGAACCAAGCCAAATCATCTTAGATACAATTAAATGCTGCACTTAAGTTATTGCCTTTGTCAGCATGAATGTTAAAATCCTCCACTATTGACCCGGTCAGTATTCAACATCATATCAAATAGGAACTCTGAAAACTTATCTCAAACTTCAGAGTAAGGACCTGATGAATGATACAAAGTTACAAAAAAAAGAGATTTTGTTGCTCTGCAATTTGGATGACGGAAAATAAGGGTTGAATGTTTAATAGTAGTTTAATTGTAGTTATTAATAGGGTTGATAATTGATAAGATTTTCACGATTCCGATTCCCTTATCAATTCTGTGAAACGTTTTGATTCCTTATCAATTCTCTTATCGATTCTTTGCAACAATGAACTTGGTAAGTGCATGGTGACATTCGTTTACCTTCACCTGGGACATTCTATTTTTGCCTGTCTCGGTGAAAACAAAAGGCAGTGAACTGGGGCTCCCAGCCTCTGAGCCAGCCAGGCTACCCGTCTTATAACATTCATCTAAATCTAATGGAGAAGGCATCCATTTAATGAAAAAACCTTACTGTGCAATTACAGGAAAAAACTAATCTACCCCTGATTTAACGTGCGTCACCTTCCTCTCGCTTCCTGAACTTCAGAGCAACTTCATAGCATGT